TCAAAACTCCGCCCCGCTCCCGAGACCTGTCTTGAGACCCCGCCCCGCCTCAAAGACCCCGCCCCTCACCTCCGAGACCACGCCCCCGCCAGCAGCCCAGCTCCTCCTGTCTCTCGCCCCAGGTGGTTTTGTGGGTCTGCCCTGAGCTGTGTCTGTGAGCTCCACGCACTTTCTCAGTGTGTACCTCCAATAAAACCAAGCAAAGCCAGCTACGGAGCCCTCCACCCTGGGCTGTTTCCAGGAGGAGATGCGCGGTGGGCTCGCCCTTCGGTCCCTCCACCTTGCAGGGACCCCTCGTGCCCACCGTTTCTTCCCTTGGGAGAGCTCCCTCTTGGGGTTTCCAAATGCCTGGCTCTGTGTGGCTCCTGGGATAGGACAGGAAGCTCCGGCTCCGTGTCAGGTGCAAATTAACCTCCCTCCCGTGAGGACCCAGGGGCTGTGGAAGAGGCCACTGGCCTCTTTCCGGGAATGACTCAAGCCCCCGCTGGGACTGGCTTGGCACGCCCCTCCCTCTTCCCTCTGGCCTCAGTGTAGCCTCGGGAGGGCTCTTGGCACCTCTCATCAGAGGGGTGGGGGGCCACGGTGGGGCTCCGAGGCTGTCTGGGTTTGAGAGATTCTATCCATTGCAGATGACAGAAAACCCTCCTGTTACAGCCACACACTGGATTTTCATTTTAAAAGAGCCCAGTTTCTATTTCCTAGGGGTGGGGGTGTTGCCAGGTGGGGGCCTGACAGTGGCAGTGGCTGGGTCCGACTGTCTATCCTCTTCCAGGCAGGGTCAGCTCCGACGCTCCTGGGAGGTTGGGAACTTCCTGGGGAGACCCCGGGTTTTCGACCCGCGAAGCCCTGCCCTGTAGAAAGGGGAAACCTCGTCCAGGGCCCTTGGTGGGGAGGGGGACAGCATCTCCGGAGATTCTGCCTGCCAGGCTGGCCTGGACCCCTGGGGCGTGGGGGTTGGGGCGTGGAAGGGAGGGCGTTCTCGCACACAGCTGTGGTGGGCTCGGGTGCAGGCGGCGCAGGGCTTCAAGGGGAAGCAGCAGACTCTCTCCTCCCAACCCGGCACCCTCTGCTTACCAGGCACGTACAGAGACCCCGGCGGCCTCAGGAGGTTCCATCCTACACAGAGGCTGGAGACAGCAGCCAACCTGCCAGTGACAAGGCCAGGCGTCCCAGGAGAAACCTGAATCCAGGCTCTCGGGGCCCAACTGCCGGATGGCAGCCCCAAACGCTGACTCACTCAGAGGGCCGGAGCCAGCCTTGCCCTGGGGTGGGTTTTGGAAACCTACTTTCCTATAGTGGGGCGAGGGCTCTGGAGGTCTCCTGGGTGGGAAGTTGCGCCACTTCAGTTCGATAGCTGGTGTCCCTCCCCACCCCTGCTACCTAGCACTGTGGGGCAGTGGTCTCAGGGGCTGTGGGTGGGGGACTCACAGGAGCACCCGAGGCACAAGGCAGGGGGCATAAGGCCCTGACCTCACCCCTGGGGCCCAGAGGGTGGGTGAGTTCTAGGCCTGAGGGCAGGGAGGGCACGAGGAGGCTGTGTTGTGGGCTCACGCCCCTGCCCTCAGCTCCACCCACCCAGGAGCCTGTGCACAGATGTCCCCATGTGCACACAAGAGGGGCCACCCTGCAGTGCCCTCACTCAGTGGCCTGGCTACTAAAATGTGGAAGAGGAAGAGGGGAAGGCTGGCGCCTGGCCCACAACCCACCCAGCTCAGCCTTCAGGATGACCCTCGGCCTTCCCCTGCATCCGACAGTGGCGGGACACAGAACACGCCTGTCACCTGGGACCCCCTTCCCTGTGGGCCCTGGGAGGGGGCAGCCTCAGCAACGGTGGGGACTCCCACCTCTCCCAAGGGGCTTCCTTCTGTCTGCCGCAGGGCTGCCCGGGCCCTCCTGCGCTCAGGGTCCTTCTCCCAGACCCAGGCATCGCGCCCTCGCCGCCCCCCCGCCCCCCCCCGCCCAGGCTGCAGGCACCCGTCCAACATGGAGGAACCCCCTCAGGGCTTCCAAAGGCACCCGGGACCCCCCAGGTCCGCGGCCACCCCTCAACTCCCTGGCCTGCTTGACCCCGACCCTCTGGCCTCCCCAGCGCCCCTGCCCCGCCCTTCAGCCCCCACTCCCCAGGCCCCTCGCTCCCCATCCCCGATCCACTCCCTTCCTGGTTCTTCTTTCCTGCTCCTCCCCCAGCCCCTTTCTCGGTCCTCGCAGCCCCCTCCGCGTCCCTCTCCCGCCCCCCTCCTTCCCTCTTCCCCTCCCCACCTCGTTCCTCCCCCTCCACCCCCCTCCCTCTTTCGCGCCCGGCGCACTCCGCGCTGTCCTGCGGCGCCCCCTTGTGGCCGCGGGGAGGACGCCCAGACCGCGTTGCGGAGGGAGGCCCGGGATGGGGGTTCTCGGCCGGGTCCCTTGTCCTCACTGATGTTGAGCTGCTTCTCGGCTTAATCAGATGAGTTCGTTAAAACTAATAGACTACCCGTCATCAGCATTATGAACATTGATCTCATTAGTAATTGTATTATTATTATTATTTTTTGAGACAAAGTCTCACTCTGTCGCCAGGCTCCAGGCTGGGGTGCAGTGGCACAATCTCGGCTCACTGCAAACTCCGGGTTCAAGCGATTCTCAGCCTCCCGAGTAGCTGGGACTACAGGCGCGCGACCACCATGCCCAGCTAATTTTTGTATTTTTAGTAGAGACGGGGTTTCACCATGTTGGCCAGGATGGTCTCGACCACTTGACCTTGTGATCTACCCGCCTTGGCCTCCTAAAGTGCTGGGATTACAGGCTTGAGCCACCGTGCCCGGCCAGTAATTGTATTTTATTTCATTAATTGTTACATTCACCAGTAAAAATGGGAGCGAAGGCACTGTGTGCACCCGCTGGTGTGCGGCTCAGCCCTGAAGGCAAACGCGCTGCTGGGAGTGCTGAGGGCGCTGTCGCCGTCACCGGAAAGCCGAGGCACAGACACCAGCCCAAAAGCCAAGCGCAGGCCTGGCGCTCACATGCCAGGCAGCCCAAGCTGAGCTCTCACCCTGAGCCACACCTGAGTTCTCACCTGAGGCTCCTGTATGGGTTTGAGTGGCCAGGTTGGGCCTAATATGAGGTAACAATAACGACTTTTGGCAACTTAGTTGATAGTAGAGACATTTCATATCAGAGTCAAAGAAGATGAGAGGCAGACACATTTTTAAAGTAATTGCTATTAGATCAGCCAAAGTTGAGGGGACTCAGAGTGTGAATAATTTCCTGATTTTGGGTACATTTCCTCGTGTTGGGGGTCAGCTTGCCCAGCGTCAGGTGTGGTTCTCGCCAAAACCAAGTCCAGCCAGAGCGTGTGAGGCTGAGCACAGGCTTGGGGTCCCTGGGAGGGTCTGGCTGGAGCTCCGACAGCAGCTGGCATAACCCTGCAGTGGATAAAGCGAATGTGGCTCTAAGTGCCTGGGGTCCGTGCTGATTTCCATAAGTGCCTGTTGTAGGGTTGGGTTAGGATCAGGTTGGTCCCGCTGCACCCTGGGTATTCAGGTGCACAGGCAGGCCTTGGCCTTGGACAACAGCTACCTGGGTGGGCGGGGGCTGCTTCACCCGCAGCTTTGGCAGCTTTGGCGAGGAGAGTGGAATGCCAGAGAAGTCCTCAGGGGGAGTGGCCACATGGTGACTTGGGTCCCAGGCTGGCCGGTAGGCGGAGGGTCACACCACCTGGGTCTCAGTGGGAGGACCTGGCTGGAGCAGAGGTTTGGAGATCTCCTTCCCTTTCCTTCTGGGGCTTGGGACTTTGTACCCCTGTGCAGGAGAGGCAGCAGAGGGCTGGGGTCTTGGTGATGCCTCCACCCTGCCCCCAACCTTTGGGGGAATGTCTCCACTTGTTACAGCAAGTGTCCCGGTTTTCCTGGGACTTTGGGGGCTAAATTGGAGGCCCTTCTCTTTTTCCCCAAGTTCTCCAGCATACTTAGAAGCATCTGCCTACTCAGCTCCACCCCTAAATGTTTCCCTTGATGTCCAGGGCCAGGCATCCTATGGGGACTTGATTTAAGATGTCTT